ACAGTAGCTGGGTCAAGGTATCCACACTAGAAAAATCCCTAGGCGTGAGTATGAAGAATGGGTCTTGGTTGACACATATCTCTGCTACAGAAAGGATATATTTTCCAGTCCTGTGCAGGCTCATCCAAGTGGACTTCCTGCCAGCCGGCCTGGTGTGTCGCAAGTCTGGCTGACTATGACTAGGCACACTTCCTCTCTATTCCTTTGGGATTGTTCTACTAGTAAACACACTACCTGTTCTCCATGTAGACATCTTGTCTAACTGTTCTAGTCTCGTCATTGTTGATGAGATAAAACTCTGACCAAAAACAACTTTGAGAAGACAAGGATTTGTCTGACTTAACACGTCCAGTTCACAGTTCAATCACTGAGGGAAGTCAATGTAAGAGCTCCTGCAGGAATTTGAAGCAGAAATCTTGGTGGAACGCTGCTGCCTGGCACACTCCGGCTCATACTTAGCTAGCTTTCTTATACAGACTGGGCCCATCTGCTTAAGGCTGGCACCACCCACAGTGGGATGGGCCCTCCTCTATCAATTAGCAATCAATAAATACCTCCACAGGCATGCCCACAGGCCGATCTGGTAGAAGTAATTGTTCCATTGAGGTTCTCTCTTCCCAAATGTGTCAACTAGACCCCTGAACTCAGCAGGGCTCAGAGCCTGCTCCAGGGACCCAGCTGACACCTGCAGGTTCTCTTCCTAAAGAGCTCTCCACTAGTTCTGGCATTTACATTCTCCTTGGCTGATTCCCACAGGATTCCCCAGGGAGAGACAGGCGCTTGGCAACAGGTTGTGTTCCGAGCAGACTTCTGGTTCTCACCTTCTAGCTAGGTGGGAAGTCCACATGGTAGCACGGACTCTCGGGAAACACAGGGAGGATGGGCGACATCGTCCACATGCCCGATGGAAACTATAAAGGACAGCAATGAGTCACCATGGCTTGGGAGGTCAAATCTCATGGGAAGTGTTACAGGGGGGCCCTCTGTCAGGCTAGGTTCTGCCTGTGGGATCCCAGGCTGCTTCTAGACACTAGCTTTAAGTGCTGATGTTTTGGGATGGGTGACCTCCATGTTGGAGGCCAATGAGGTGGGTGCTCTTCATAGACCAGTTAGGTTTGGCACACACACCGATAGGTCTCATCCTGGTGTCAATGAGCCGGATCCAAAGAGGAAATATTGGAGGCTGCTCATGAAAGCTGAAGACTTCCAGAAGGTTTTTCTATTGTGGTATCCCTAGACAGTTGACAGCTGCTGTTAACATGACCTTTGCCGTCCTTGGCAGGTCCTTAAGAGCTGACTTTGCTCAGGACTGGTCTGTGTGGAAGGCTGTTGTTTCTGATCTAACACATGGTGCCTGTGACAAGCGGTCGGGTACCTCCATGCCTACAATACTCAGCCTCCTGTTTCCCAGTCCCCTTGCACTACTAACTCACCAACAACCCTCGACTTGATGTGGGTGGAAGCCATGTCACTTCTGACTCAAGGCAGTGAACGCTGTTGTGACTCTCTCATGTGCTCTCCCTGCAGAGGTGGTACTGGGGCCCGTGTGTTCACAGAAGACACACATTTGT